AAGAGTTTCCTTTGTAGGGGGCTGGCCCCGTGGCCGAGTGGTTAAGTTCGTGCGCTCCGCTGCAGGCGGCCCAGTGTTTCGTTGGTTCGAATCCTGGGTGCGGACATGGCACTGCTCACCAAACCACGCTGAGGCAGCATCCCACATGCCACAACTAGAAGGACCCACAACGAAGAATATACAACTATGTACTGGGGAGCTTTGGGGGGAAAAGGAAAAAAATAAAATCTTTAAAAAAAAAAAAAAAAAGAGTTTCCTTTGTAACTGAAGATAGTCAATGATGGTATCCTTGGAAAAGCTGTGGTCATGATCTCAGAGGAAATCCTCGAATAGGGATCAACTAAAATAAATGTGGAGGTAAAGTTTACTAAGTAAACTTTAGCGATACCTAGAGAAAAACTAAATGTACCTAGTGAATTTTCCTCTCTAGTTTGGTAGAAGAGGACTGTCTGCCACCCAAATAATAGTGGTGGAGTAGAAAACAAACAAACAAAAACAATGCCTTGGCAAGAAAGCATCAAAAGTGGAAGAAGCCTTTTAAACTGTTAAAGGCAGATGGGGACAACATGAATTAAACTGATTCTCTTAGTAATAGAAGTCTTCTTTAAGGCATGAGGTGAACACTTTCACTAGTTTATTTTTTTTCATAGTTGGTTGCTTTTGCAATCTGGTTAAAAATTACCCTTTGTACAAATTTTCTCTGATGCTTTATCTATCCATCTTTCATACTAAGATACTGAGGTACAGAGTTAGTTGGTAACTTACCAAAAATACTGAAAAGTAGAACTATTATTAGGGCCCTAGACTCTATAGGAGAGCCCATTCTTTGTTTGCTGTCTCCTTGATGGGACTCCATAACTTGCCACAATTCTTCAATCGGTCTTTGAGTCTTTAAGAAATTGGTTTGAAATTGGAGAGGCACTGGAGCGGAGCAGGCCTCTCTTCTTCCCCTTCCTCCCACCATGGGGGTAGCCCTGCACACCTTACAGCAAGAGGGCAGAGAACTTATGTTCTCTGGAAGGAGGTACTTCCAAAAGGAAGAAGGGTGGAGCAGAGTCAAACATGGGTTGTTCTTCCAAATTTACATTTATGTAAACCATTTAACTTCACAGGGGTAGAGTGAGTTAAGGCACAGAGAGGGGCCAGGAGTTACTCTAATTGAGCTTCCTTATCTCATGGAGAGAGGAGAAAAAGGTTTTCTACAATAAGAGGGCTAACATAAGAATAGCTGTCTATAATCTCAAGCATCCTTCTGAGACCAGCACCTCCTTTCTGCCCAGCTCACTCCCTTTGCTTCCTGTTCCCCAGCTCCACACTTTCCCATCTCCATCTCTCTTGGCCATGTCATCTGAGCTATGATTTTAAAACTAATCCTGATGTGCATTCTACATGGTTCATCAAGAGTTCCCAATGAGGTTAAACCTCAGTTGCCATAGCAGCCACCAGCTCTATAATGCCTACTTTAGTAGTTTTTTTCCTCTGCTCTGTCTTACTCTCTTCACTTCTTCACTCTGGATTCCTGGCATCACTTCCCAAATAAAAAGTACCCAAGTATTTGTCTCAAACTCTGCTTTCAGAGGAACTCAAAGTAATTAGCAATGATGGTGATGATACTCATAACATGATGATGTAGTATACTCATGAAGTAAAATCACAGTTTAAAGAAGTGAAAAATCCAGGAGGCTTGATGGAGTTGGAGAAAACTTAGTGAAAACAAAAATGAAAAACTTGACATAGGACTGAAACCCTGGAGTAATTTAGACAGAAAAATAAAGGTGGGGGTGTATATTATAGGTAAGATAGCACGAACAAAAGTAGGGAAACTGGAGGTGGGTAATTCTTTCCTTAGTTTGTATATAGATATCCTTTATTTACAGAACCATGCATACCCTTATATTGGAAGATGCCACAAAAATCCAAGTCATTCTAGCAGGCAAGAAATTAAATGGATCCATAAGTACCATTTGCATACAAATACTTTATGACCAAAAATCTCAGCAAAAGCCATCTGACCACTGAGCTTAACGAATTTTCACCACCTAAAAATCCTTAGGTCCCTCTCTTCCAGAACAATTCTGAACACTTTAGAGTGTTACAGGAGCCTGTCTTGATTTAGCTCCTGTCTTCCATTGGCTTCCACCTAGCCATTCTCATTCACCTGATTCTTCTCCCTTGTCTATCCACACTCACCTAACTCACTTCCAAAATGGCCGCCATTACTAATTTTCCAGGTAGATCTTTGTGCAAGGAATCTTCTCTTTCCACCTGTTTTTCCTATTAATCTCTCCTTATCATTCTGAACTTAGTTTGGAGATTATTTGATATGTGAAACTTTCCTTGGCTTGTCCTTGGTTCACCTCCTCCTTGGGCTGGGTGCAATTTTCACAGGATTCTCATAGCATCCATGTTACTTCTATAAGAGCTATCCTCACACTATATTGCACTATATTGTAATTATCTCCTTAATTGATTGTCTTCCCAACATTTTTAAGCACAGGGACTGCATCTTATTCATTTTAAAATTTCTTTTTAGCATCTTATGTGCCTAAGCAAAATGCTCAGTTTTTACACTGTGTTTAATGAATGTCCTTTGAATAGAGGCATTAATTAATAAATAAAAACATGAATTGTTTCTTTTGCTAAAAGTGTACAGCATCTGGTTTGGGATAAGAAAGTAGAATTAAGAAGCTGGTGAGTATACCCTCTTTATATTTCTGGTGGATATTTGAATATTTATTCTTTTCCTTTCACAAAGTGATGTGAGAGGACAAATAAATTAGCATTTTAAAGAACTTGGGCTTCTAAAACAAAGGTCTAGCTTAAGTGTTTACTATTCATTAAAAACTAATCTGTTAAACCTAAGGTATGGATGAAAGCAGACAGTCTAGAAGGATTTCAAGCCTAAGGAAGGGTTAATCAAGCCAAAGATCATAATCGTGGTATTTCTCAGAGCCTAAGAAGTTTAAAGGAAAGTAGTCACTCATCTTTGACTTTCAGACACTGAGGCATAATCAACAGAATACCAAGCAGTTGTGGAACTTTAATGGTTCTATAGGGAAATTGTTGAGAAGGATTAAAGTTTCTAGATTCAAAGACATTTTCCATCAGACCACTTTCAGGTTGCCATTCCAAATGTACCTGTGGACCTTAAAGCTTTGGGGGCCATCATGGTGATAGTCTACAGCAAAAGTCTTCACTACCTTCTTAAAATTCTAGTGCAATTGTCATCAACACCATTTCTGTATTTTGTTTACTATGCTGCTGATAATGGCAACATTTTTGTGACAGGAAAGTTTGATATCTTTGTTAAAGATTTTAACTAGATGTGGACACATTGATTTCACTGCTAAATCTATTCTCTTGTTTCTATCCTACTAGCATTTTAAAAAATCTGGCAATATATGTTCACAGATAGCCTTAATAAGCCTAATAGTATGTTCCCAACTCACAAAAACTCATTGCAAACTAAATTAATCAGTGATACAAATATAAAGAACATTTTTACTCTCATTTCTTTTGACTTTAGTAGTGTTTGGTTAACAAAAATATTTTAAATATTTGTTTATTTAGAGATATCAGATTTTTTAAAGCATACTTGAGGTTTAGATAACTGTTACATGCAACTATTTATCACTTTGTAGAAAGTAAGGTGAAATTAAGGAAGAAAACCTTCCGTCTTTAAAAATGTATTTAGTTTGAACAGATTTAACTTTTTAAAAAAATGTGATATTATGAAAGTTTTATTCTCTTAACAAACAGTATTCATTTGACAACTATTTATTGTGTGTAAATATTTATTATGCGTGAGACATAGCCCCTGCTTTATAGGAAGTCATAGTAGAGCAAGAGAAAGACACTGGAGGATAACTGCATTATAACTTAATTAAGGCTGTAGGAAAGCATGTGCAGAGAGCTATGGAAGCACAGAGGGGATTCCTCTTCATGCTGCCTGGGAAGATATGTGTAGGCTTCAAAGAACCACGTCAGTTAAGAGAATAAGAAAATTTTCAGGCAGAGACAGAGAAGGACCTTCCAGACTGAGGAAACATGAACAAAGGCGTGGAGGTGTGGGAGGATCTGGTTTGGAGGCAACAATGTGGCTAGGATATATATAATGCAAATAGTATAGTAGAGAGATGGAATCGCAAGGAAAGGATGGGTCAGAACCAAGCTATTTTTGTAACCCTTGCATAGCAATTTGGATCTCATCCTCTAGTTAATAGGAAGTTTTGAAAGTTTTTATGGAGCAGGGTAGCATGAATAGTTCTGTTCTTTAGAAAAATGATAGTGCCTATACAAGTTCTGGTCACCCAATTTCCAAGGTGTATATGTGGACTTTCCCACAGTACCAAGCAGTGCTCAACACCAGCTGGGTGTCTTACAATTAGACTCAATTCTGACACTTTCTACCCAGTGATAGCATCAGATTCCACAGCTGAAGGATTCAATCCTACAAGACTGCGCCCTGTAAATCCACTGCAGACATCAGTCACAAACCCAGGTTGTCACCTGTGCTTCTGACCAATGGGCTACAGATTGAAGGTTTCCATGACCCACTCTTTGGGTTGAGTTAATATGCTCACAGAACTCAGGAAAACTATTAACTCACTAAATTATTGGTTTATTACAAAGGATATTCAAATAACAGCTAGATGAAGAGTTACATAAGGCTAGGTATGTGGGAAGGGGCACTGAGTTTCCATGCCCTCTCCAGGTGTACCTCTCTCCCAGTATCTCCATATGTTCACTAATCCGGAAGCTCTCCAAATCCCCTCCTTTGGGGTTTTTATGGAGGCTTCCTTACATAGGCAGGATTGATTAAATCATTGGCTACTGGCGATTGAAGTCAATCTCCAGCCCCTCTCCCCTACTTGGAGGTGGGGGGAGGTGGGACTGAAAGTTCCAACCCTTTAAACACATTGCAGCCAGCCTCCATCCTTGGGCCCCAAAAGTCACCTCATTAACATAACAAAAGACACCTTTATGCTCTCCTTGCTCAGGAAATTCCAAGGGTTTTAGGAGCTCTGTTCCGGAAATGGAGATGAAGACTAAATACGTATTCCTCGTTATTGTCAAAAACGGAACTCTGCACACTGAGTAAAACAAAGTAGACAGGTGAGTTTATTGCAAGTGTTTCGACCTGCCAGCTAGGAACTCAAGGCTACGGGGGCAATGAGTTCTGAGTTGCTCACAGACTAAAGGCTTTTATGGGGTAAATGCAGAAGTTATTTGGCTTTTTCAGCTGATTGGTTGCCTTGTGGTCTTCTTCCTTATTTGGATCAGGATAGCTGAGTTAGAGGAACAAGGAAGTCCAGGGATGGTGTGAGCAGACTTGGCATTTATGGATTGGCTGGTGTCTGGGAATTGGTTGACATCCTCTGCTGATTTCCGAGGCAAGCTGTAAATCCTTTCAACTTATGTTAGGTAAGGTTGTTTCACTTTCCTTAATGCATGTGTCTTGGCCAACTCCATTTTGTTGCTGACATAAGTGACTTCATCTTAGTTTGGTTCTACATATAAATACAATATCACAGCCTGCTATTTGGAGAATTAATTGGAGAGCAAGAGATTAGAAATGATTTAAGATTCTATTGCAATAATTATGAAAATAAATGTTAAGAGCTTAAACCAGAATAGATATAAAGATATGGTGAATGTAAGAAACACCTTGGAAGCAGAATGTATTAGATCTAAACATCCAGTTGTTTGTCAAATTGAAATAGTTGGGTGGAGAAAAGATGACCCTGATGTTTTAAATCTGAGAGACTGGTGGGGTAAAGATGAAGAGGGACTGATGCTAGAGGAGGGAAGCAGCTTGAGGAGAGATGGTGAATTTTGTCAGGACTTGCTTAGGCTATAGCACCTGCGATACATGCAATGGAGATATGCAGGAAGCAACTCGGGGTTGCAGAGTAAAACTCAGTACAGAGGGGAGTACAGCTTGAATTACAAATTTAGGAATCATCGACATAGATGGAAACAGAAGGAAACAGGGACTGCAGGTAAGAAAAGAAGAGGTCTAAGTGCAGAATCCGGAGAAATATCATAGACGCTCAAAGGCAGGAGAGAAGAATTAAATCTGAAATCTAAAACTATTTTGACGTCTTTATGAGGAAGGGCACAAAATATTCCTGTCTTCCTGATGACAGCTTTTGCATTTCCATTACCAACTGGAAAAACAATGATTTTTTCAGATCATGCAGAATATCTGGACATTTTATTTGTGACCTCAACTGTTTTCACATCTATGCTTAGAATCATCATATCCAAGCGCTGGGCTTTAGAGGCTGTAGTGCAGAGGTTCAGGGAATAGGTTCCTGGTGTAGGGGAGGAAGGTAAATCCTCTGCCTTCTCTGGGTCCTTCTGGCTGGGCTACAAGCCAAATTGACACAAGACGAGTAACAGGAGAAAATTAAACAAAGCTTTACAGTATATATACATGGGAGAAACACAGGAAAACTGGGTAACTCACAAAATGGCCGAGCTGCCAGCTTAAATACCATCGTCAGCTAAAGGCAAAGGAGGATGCTGAGGGTGGTGCTTTGAGATTTCAGAGGGGAGGAAGACAATTTACATGGAGATGGAAATGCAAATGTTTGTTAGTTTTGCTGGGCCAAAAATGGGCTTGTTGGTGCCTTTCTATCACATTTATTTTACATTATACTATGGCTGTCTTAAGGTGATAACTCTTTCCTGGAGCAGGCCTCCTATGTTAAATTCTTTTAGGCAGTTTGGGGGAAGGTCAAACGTCTTTCTTGAGTCTTCTGAGCCTTTATTATCTTCAGCTCAAAATAATCCACATACCGGAGTGGTCCGTCTTGGGGCAGCCTCCCCTGAACCCCATCACTAATCAGGATTCTGATTTCAAATCCCAGTTTTGCTACTTACTCAACTGGGCACCAGGAGAAGTTACTTCACTTTACTGCGTGTTATTTTTCGCAACTTCAAAAAAGGAGGTATCAAAATGCCCCACGAAACACTAGGCATTATGTCTGGTGCTTTGTAAGAATTCAATGTGATTCTTGATGTTATTATTCTTACTACACGGAAACATTATAATTTTCAGAATAAGCCTTTGATTCCTTCCACTTCTTAAATAGAGTTCCCATGGAGTTAAGTGAGTTTCAAATTTAGTCTCTATCATTTTGAAAAAGATGACCAATACAGGGTGAAAAATTTTCTTTTCAATTTGTATAATGACATTTAAAATCATCCTGTCCATGAATACATTTCTAGAAAAAATTTAAAGGAAATATTTTCTCTAAAATTTCTCTCTAAAAGTTCATAGTATACTGCAGAAAAGGAACACATTAGAAATAAATTGAAGTATGTTATGAAGTGGTAAACACTTCAGTATAGTGCCTTTTTTTTACTGGACATTTTCATAAAAGTGGTTTTGGCTAATTATTATATTTCTGTATATAAATTCTTTTCTGAGAGCCATAGTATAGCATTAGCTATAAGTGTTTTATTATCTGTCACAGTAAATCTTTAACCTTGGGAATAATGAAGGAGCATAATTACTAGTTTATATGCAGTTCATTATGGCAACAGTAGCCTTCATTTCATAAAGGATGTGTGACAAAGAATGAGAGGAATGTGTCTCTATGGCCAGCTTTCACACAGAATTCTAACAATACATTCTTATTTCATTAACACACGGTAGGTGTTTTGTTTTGTTTTTACAATTTTGTAGGCTGGGAAGACCATTCTCCTTAATAACTAGAGCTGTCCTTCTAAACTGGATGTTTTTGTCTTTTTAAAAAGATATTGACAGCTCACGCGGAAAAGGCAAGAAATTTCATAAGGCATCTTGGAACGTTCTAATCAATTATTTCTCTGAGTATACTATATTCCAGTGGGTTTCAAAAAAATAATTTTAGAGTTGACATAAAAATTATGCTTGAATGACAAGTGAAATTTTACTTAATGAACTTTCAGTCGATGGAAAATAACAAGTATTAGAATTTCATTCCAAAATAATTTTCTTTGCAATTTTTAGCCAAACTCATCTTCCAGCATGTCTCTTAGGATATACAACAAACTATAAAAATGACCAATTGAATCTTCCCAAAAGACACATAATTCCAAACATTCATGAACTCACTAAAATTATTTGTTTCCTTCCTACAGAAGCTAGAACTTAATCTCAAGGCTTACCAAAATAAGACCAGTCTTACTTCTGGGTGAATGAAGGCAAAAACGTTAATTCTCAAAGTTGAAAAATTTACTGTGGCTTAATATAAGAAACTCTTACATAGTTGATGCCTTCACATAGATGTTATGATCACATACTCAGAGGACTTTTTGTGCTGAGCAAAACTGACACTTGGTCCACCAGCTCCATTCCAAGATTGTTGACACACCAATTGGCATTTAAGGGAGGCACCCAGGATCAACTTGCTTCCTTTTGCTGGTTCATGGGTAAAGTAAAGCATTTGATGTAGCTGCAATTCAGTGCATATCTTTAGGCTTAATGGTTGAGGAACCAGCAGACTACCTGAGGCTTTCAGCTCCTTGATCAAAAATCCCAATGTTTTGGCAGAGAGGACACTCATCTGGCCACTAACTCCCCAGATGTTTATCTACTAGTGAGCATACATGAAGGCTTCAGCTTATGTTGTGTCTTGAACTCAGTTTCTCCTCACTGTTGTTGGTAACTTCATGATACGGCATCAGTGCAGAGGCCTGAATGCCTCTCACCGCTTGTTGGAGATTGGAAGCTAAATCTCTATCAGCCTGAGTAGCTGAGGCAACATCTCTCTTCTCTCAAGGGCATATCACCTCATAACTGGAGCGTTAGCTGTTTAATGTAAGCGTTGTGAGAACAAAACAGACAAAATGTCAGGAAGTGGGGTGGAGGACAAATAAATGAACATACTTGTAGAGGAGAGACCCAGAAGGAAGATTTAAACACTTCCTCACTTTCTGTATCCTAAGCTTATGTATATTAACAATACACATGTGGTTTGTTGAGTTCCTTCTAGTAATGCTAGGTAGTTGCCTTATCTTATGCCCCTTCACAACCCTATGAGATAGGACACATTATTATCCTGTTCAGTAGATGAGGAATCTAAGGCTTGGGAGGTTAAGTAAATTGCCAAGGTGACATGGTTCCTAAGTGAGGAACGGTAACGGCTCCCACCCACTCCCTCCAGAGGTCAGCTCTGAGCCATTCTGCTGAGATGCCACAGATAGATTATGTGATGGGAAGGGCATCCCTGAGACTGTGCAAAGCAGCCCTTCCACTCTGCTCGATTGTCCTGGGCAGAGGGAAGGATGGACGTAAACTTAAGGCTCATTTTGTTCTCTATTGCATGCCCTTGAACTGTATGTAGTCTCTGTTATTGATGCTCTAAGGCCTTTGAAGGAAAGACAGCACTTGGAAAGGAAGGTCGGTTCACACATTTGTTGCTCCTGTTTAGTGCAAGCCTGGGTTTTACAGGGCAGTGCCGGACTGATTTATATTCTTTCCTGCAATCAAAAAAAAGGAAGAAAATTTTTATTTAAAAAGGAAAGATTCTTAAATTCTGTGGGAAATGAATAGGATTTAAAAAGGTTAAATTTTTTCTCTTTTGACATTTTCTGTTCCGCTGACATTTTCTGCGATGTTTGCTTAGAGATGAGACCTTTTCTGTTTCTTTGTTTGTGGTTGTCTGAAACAAATCAAGCTCTTTGTTTTAAACTATTTCTCTTGCTTTTCCTTTTCGGCTTTGTAGGAGCCTGTCTCTCCAAGAAAATACTAAATCACTTTTATTTGGTTCAAGGTTAAAATTTACTTGTGGAAAAGATTTATGATGCTTTGCTTTGTTTAAAAAGTTTACACTAGAAATATATGTATCCTGGAAGAGAAATGAAGGTTTCTCTGGTTGTCTAAATTGTCTAAATTTTAAGTATTTAGCTTCTGAAAAAAAAACACAATTATGTGAACACTAAAAACATGTATTGCATGTTTATGCAATACATGCAGTTTTGTTGAATGTGATTTTGATAGGCAGGATGGATAATTTAGGCTAAAACTGTCCTTTGGCATAAAGAAATAACATTCACCAAGGAGCAGAAGTGCAGGCTTACCAGCTCAGACTGGACGGCTGGCTTGCCCCTTTTCAGTAGGTTACTATATGAGTAAGTTGCTTCTCATGACGACCAATTGTGTGCATAATCTTGGCTACACTATTTTTCTGGTTTAAGAGTCAGAGAATGATAAAATTTCAAGAATTGAAGGGACTACTTCCTGGTTTTAGCCTTCCCACGAAGTAAAGCACATCTATTTGGTTAGATTTTTTTTGTTCTCTCTTTGAAAAAATGACATTCTGCAAATTATAATACTGAAAATATCCTGTCTGGTCTTCCCCTTGGATAAAGCCATTGCCACCTATTTTAGTTTTCTAGGCCTGCCATAACCAAGTAATACAAACAGGGGG